CGAACACTGAGTTGTGTATTGTTCTGGCACACAAGCTATCTTAGCTGATAGGGGCAGTATCCTACTGCTGACACATACAGCCTTGGTTCATAATGATTCGTTTTCACCATTAGCGTGGGGAGAAGGGCCAAAGAGGAGTTACAGGAGCCGATGGCAGACCAGGCCAGCCAGGACACGAGGGTTTGACGGGTCCAATGGGAGCTCGAGGGCTGGAAGGAGAGTCAGGCCTTCCCGGAGCACCAGGCCCGAGAGGTCTACCTGTAAGTGACACATTTAACCAGTATAGGAAATGCATACACTTAAACCACATAGCAGACATGCTAGTGGTTCTAGAGATGGCAGCACCTGATCCACCAGTTTGGTTTGGAATAATCTCAGCAATTATTTCTAACGAATGAAACTGACAGAAACAGTGCAAATGCAAGTGTTGGCTGCATCAACCCTTTGCAGTAACTTTGCAGTAATAGTATTCGTGATTTCACAGGGCCCAAAAGTGAGTGACGAGAAGCTTCGGGAAATGTGTTCAGCTGTCGTTGAAGGTGCCGTTTGTTCACCTTAATAAAACCTCACATTGAACCCAATGAAGGGTTGAGCAGTTAAATATTAAAACCTATTTGTTGCAATTCATTTAGAGCAATTAGCTGAATTTATGAAAGAATTCTCAAAAAAGCCAGCAGCCATTGGTGCCCCTGGTACTCCTGGACCTGCAGGTCTTCCTGGACTCCCTGGACCAGCTGGAGCTGCAGGAGCAGCAGGAGCTCCAGGCCCAATGGGTCCCAAAGGGCCTCCAGGCTACTTTGGACTTCCAGGCGCACCAGGACAAAAAGGTCAGTATGGCATTTCAAATGTTTTCACCTTTAGTAAAAACTGAGCCTCGGTTTTTAGCATCCTTTACTTACAGCTGTAAGTGGGTTGTTCATTATGTATGCGTTTCACCCACACCGTGAGAGCTTCGGTGCGAGGCTGTGATAGCCTTTTGCTTCTTCTCTATTTTCTTGGAGACCTTCCAATCCTAGAGTGGCTGTAGTGGAAAAAATTAAATGAAGCCTTTAGAGAAAACAATGCTGTCAGCTCTGGCAGTATGCCTTTGTCTTTGCCAAAGCAAACGCTGAAAGAAGTTATGCAGAGAGCTCTGAGGATGGAAGAGAGTCACTGATGCATAACATTATACAATCAATGATGCACTAAACAGGGCGGAATCAGAGTGGAGTCATTAAGTTTCCTAATTACGTGCCTATAGCTGTGCCTCTCCATTTCATCTCAGCATCAATGTGCATGTCCCTGTGCAGGTGATGCCGGGGAGAGGGGAGACAAGGGAGACAGGGGAGAGGATGGTGTGGGAATCAAAGGAAGCCAAGGCGCACCAGGTGCACCAGGTAAGGATTCTTGTTGTAATTAGAGCAGAGCGCTGGTGACAGTAAACAGGGGGTCTTCGAAATGTCAAACTGAGCTAAAAACTGACTTTAATTTTTAATTCTCATTAAAAGTGCAGTTTTTGTAGCACGTTAGAGAGATAGCCCTCACATATAAATATAAATATATATACTGATATATACTGTACTGTATAAAAGTCATTCAACTTGCTCAAATACAGGCTTTATCTCACAGCAGGACAATTTATTTGTCAGATCATTCCATTTAAAATGCTCCACAAATCACCAACAGAAAGTACCACAGTGTAGTGACCACTATAGAGCTCCGCTGTGGGGCTCTGGAAGTAAAGATTTCATAGGGATTTTGATATTTAGCCATTATTTTATAGCCGTCCAAAGCTGTTGTATTACTTGAACTGATAGTAGACGCATAAGTCTAATTGACATCAACCTTGTTTTTTAAAAATGCAATGTGAAATGTCGTAGAAAAAATAGTTTGTTACTTTATTTAAAAAAACCCTCAATAAAGCTTCGATAGCTCGCTATTCATCACTGATCAAGGACAACAATAACAACAGCAGAGAGTCAGGGCTCTGTTGGGCCAACTATTCTTTTAACTATTCCTTTAAGTAGCAATGACTTCATTCATTTCTTTACAAATAAAATTTTAAGCAGTAAAGAAAACATTACTGTTATTCGCAGCCTTTCATCTGATGTATTATTAAGTACAGCAACTTTAATATGTTTTCATCTGTTAACAGGACACAGGTTGTACCGCCGGCTTTTAAAGTGGTGATAATTAAGCTACTTACAAAGCCCAACCTCAGATGTAAAGATCCCAGCCTTTACCTACTAGTTTGGCGTCCCCGGCACTGGAAAGAACAGCTGAGCCTAGTTCTTGTAAAAGGAAGTTTTTCCAAGTGGAAGCTGATGGGGCGTTTCTGATTGTTGTTCCATTGTAAGGTCTTTACCTTACAGAATAAAGCACCTCGAAGCAACTTTTGTGAAATTGAAATTGAATTGAAAAGTGCTACTCTACCCAAAAACTGACATCTCTGCAACATCTCCTTTTGGTGGAGCAGTTACTATGGAAACCAGAAAATTTCAGGTTGACTAAACTGCAAGAACGGTTAATACAGCGAGTTACAGAGCGCTGTACTTACTGAGAGCTAGGCCATACTTTACCACACACACAATTACACTGTTATAATTCAATATATACACAACAATGAAAAGGATACCATTTAAGAAGGTTAGAAGACATTGCTCTGGAAACTAGGATTTGCAATGGATTATGGGATGAGTAGTTCCTTCACCACTAAAAGTAATTGTTTACACAATCTTATACCTTTTCCTGTTTTTTTTTTATTAGTATTTTTATCCAGGGAGGGGCAGCCTCTCTCAAAGTAGCAAAAGTATATTGTTTAGGGTCATACTAAGACAGGATGTTTCTAATTGTACCAACATTTATGCCAGTGAAAGACACAACGTACTAGAGACTTGTTTAATGTGTGCATCAAAGAACGAGTGAGTCTCAAATACCAGCTGAGCCAGATCAGCTGATTTAGTGTAAAACCTGAAAACACGACCTGGTGTAACAAATGTCGATAATGCTTCTTTTTTCTTTTGCTTGCCTGTTAGCCCATCATCTTATTTTTTAAACTGGAAAGATCCCAGTTCACCCCGTCCATGCTAGATATCTGAGAGAAGTTATATGAAATATACTTTAAAATGAATGAAGGATGATTTCTGTGAGATATGGATCACATATGGATCACGTGTGTGTGGCTGTTTTAGTAGGTTGTTAACGTGCACCCGCAGTTTGACTTGTCTTAGTGTTGCGTCATTCATATTCAGATATTGACCACTTTATTCCTGGAATCCTAGAATTAAATGAACAGATGGTTAGGGTTAAGAAAGGGGAAGGTTCTACAATATACTGTTCTATGTGGTAATATGTGGTGTTAAGATTAGTGTGTAATATTATAAAATGTAACAAAAGAAAAGTAAAAAAAAAAGAAGAAGGTATAACATAGTTTTATCTGAATATCGAAACTGCACATCATCCACACCTTTATGTCTTTAAGGCATGTCTGTAACTTAACTAAATCATTTGTGTCGTCTACTTTCATAGATAAATATACCTGGATGTCATCTGCATAGCAGTGGTTATTTACCTATTGCCTTTATAAACTGCCAAAGAGTAGCATGTGTGACATGAAAAGTATTGTTCCTGGTGCAGAAGCCACTATATCTGACTTTTGCAGATATGGTTTCTTTACAAAATACCATTTTTCACTTTAAGTTGACATAATACTTAACATGTTTTTGTTTCCTCAGGTGCAACCGGCGCCCCCGGCATTGGAAAGGATGGTAGAAACGGAGAGCGTGGTGAGACAGGTAGTCCTGGTATCCCTGGACCTGTTGGTCCAAGGGGGCTCCCAGGGTCTCCTGGCTTTTGTGACCCATCAACCTGTATAGGCAGACATCCTCCACTTTATATGGTTGGTGGGAAGAAATCCATTGGCTACAAAAACCCATGACACACCCCAAGCTCACTGAAACACTCCAAATCTCATCCTGCCAGTGACCACATTTCAGGACTTGTCAAAGCACGGTGATCTTTGGAAGTCTCCATCTGAACCACGGAACGAAGAGACGGACAGGGAAACAGAAGTGAGGCACAATTGGAGATTACTGGGACAGATGTTAACTAACCCAACATTCAAAAACCGCTGTTACTCATCCCGGAGCAACTTCTGACTGATGGCAGGTCCAGGGCACACAAGTCACCCACCACAGTCATTCAATATCAATTCTGCTCTTTTAGCCAAAAAATAAAGTCTATTATGTGACCCATATTGAAGCGATCATGAGCCAATCTTATAGTGAAGCTAGGTTTTACAAAAAAAAAAAAAAAACCTGATACTAACATCAGACATGAGATTATATCTTCAACCTGCTATTTAATTTAGGATCATACATTTGTTCCCCTCATTTTGTCAAATCGATGATCTTGTTCAAATGCTGCAATAAAGTGTTGTGTTTTGAAAGTGTGCCATCATGAAATTCCACAGCCTTTTTTGTCCAGACAAAAAGTCCCTGGGTTATTATGGATATAATGTTGATTCAGCAAGGCATTTCACAGTTGCCTGGTTACAAAGGAAAGTCAACACCATCCTCACCTCTGTCTGCACAACACAAATACACTCACAGATCAAATATGACTTTTATGTAAGCGGTTAGGAAGGAGTCGGCATAGGAGCCATTCCAAGGACATCCCTTTCATCTAACAGATGTTATCGTGGCTCGGAGACATCGTGTTTATAGATGTGTACTGTAAGTGAATGGATGCTCAAGGTTCATGAAGCTTGGTATAGGAGAAGAGTGCAGCATGATTTCTATAATCAGGTTTAGACATAAAACATGATGGATGTCTCCGTCTTGGAATTGATTATCATGCATTAGTGACAGAGCAGGGCTGGAGCTCTTGAATGAATAACATAAACATTTTCATTGTAAAGAGATGAACATTCAATGAAACCGAATGGGTCTGCTTGTATTTCAGCATTACGTGAAAGAGCACGAGTACTGGCTTTTCAAATGACGAGGCAAAAGTCCGAGTTATAAAATGAATCTGTTCCAGTCTTTATTATACAGTACAGTACAGGTGTGGTTCGAATACTTACAATATGCTACTACTTTAAAATATCTTAGCACCGATTTATCAGGAAAATTTGGGAAAGGGTTAATAAAATGCAGTTAATTCATTACAACATGATTCTATTTGATCAAATCCTGATTAATTTAGCAGTATAACAGTACAAGTTACAGCCTCTATGCATTACAAATACTCTCCCTCACCAACGCTGATGCAACATCTGCTGATGTAACTGTAACGACCATTTACAAAACCACCAGACAGGTGGTTTGTTGCAATTTACAAATCGTTCAGTGGTAAATATGGGATAGGGAACATATGGAAATGGTAGAAAGTGCAGGTCACATAGAGCCATGTTGATTCTACACAGAATGCATGTTTTTGAAATTGCTGTCATGTACCGAAGCTCTTAACTATAAGAGCTGCTCTGAAGGCACTGGTGGAGTAAAAGCTGAGACAAAAATAAGGAACAGGGTTAGCTTAGCATTTCTAAGTTAGCTATTTAGTCTACAGTTTTGAATGACTCATTTTGGGGTATTAATGCAAGCTAAATTCAAGCTAGCTGAATATCTAATCCTGCCAGAACCATGAACTAATGAACAAAATACGTAATTTTTAATTAGTTTAATGTTGCAGACATATGCAACAGCTACGGTAATATGTCAGACTTCTGGATTGAAGGATCCACAATCATGCCAGGGTTTAAACTCTGTGCTTGTAGCTGCACCAGTCAAAATGAACATTGCTTCCACATCTGAAAGTGCAGCCAGTGTGGAAGTGTCTTATACATGGATTCTTTGTCAGCGTATGGCTGCAAAAAGGTCCAGTTGTAAGGAAAGTCTATGAGGAAAATGACCTTACTGCTCACTTCATGACCTCCTTTAAGATGTTGATAATGAGTGTGCAGTCTCAATCTCTGGTTTACAGCCTTCTGCACACATGACATATATATTGTAATTTGCATTATAGAAAGAAACCAAGATAAAGCAGAGCGTGCCGTAAGGAATCGCCTACCCTGTTACTGAGAAGACACTGCTATATTTCTAAAAGTGATACAAAGGCTTTGCAAACTTGGCATCACCATGGCTATAATCTACAGTTTGCATCTACAGGCCTGTGCTAGATGGTTCATCCAATCATCTGCCAGGTAGTTTTCAAGAATGTGCAAGTTTTCCCCACAAAGAGCGGAAGCTTTGTCTAACACGTGCTCTCTCTGTGGCTAGCTACACTGGCTGCTTGCTAGCTTTCAAGGCTAGGAACGCCCCTCTGGCACTGATACATTTTGCGAAGCTATATTTGATTGCTTGTGGAGTAAACATTTTTCTATTTGCAATATGACAATGATGTATTTCCATTTTCCAAAACTGACAGACTAACTTTAACTCAACTGTTTATGAAAACGGCCTCTAGAACAGCCTCAGAAATATTGGTCAAGCTGAAAGCTCCTGTCAGCTTCACCACACAAACCTAAGTGCTGTCAAAGCTCTGTCTTCACTCTCTTCATAAATGATCTTGTGTTATGTAACCTGAGACAGAGATAATGACAAAGTATAATCAGCCATTAGATCATACTGTAAGATCTGTCAAGCTCACATTCAGATGCTTTTATTCGTCTTTATTTGAAGGAGTTTCTTTGTTCTTTTAAAACGAACATTATTTTTAATTGGTTCTAGATAACCAAGGTGTCTGAGGTTGGGAGGAACTCTAATTGGTCCGTGAGGGACATAAGACAAAGGGATTGTTCAAACTGTTACCACAACAGTCCGATCATCAAGATGCAAGAGATCGGCTCTCCAGTTTCAGGTTTCAGGGTACAAATAAGAACAGTGTGTGTTTTAGAGCAGGCCAGAGCTACAGGCACTTAATAAGCATCACAGAGACAGAGAGGAAGTGACAGGTTTAGGGAAAGCGGAGTGAAATAGGCCGCTTTTCAAGAAAGGTGAACAAAGGCTGCAATTACACCACCTCCTCAAAGCTGTTTGCTGTTCAGGTCTATGTGTAGCTCAGAGAGAGTGACCGGAGCCGCTTCATTAAACATGAAAGCACAAATCTAACAGCGACACTGTTTGCTGTCTTATCTTCTGGAACAAATCATTACATGGCATATATTCATGGTCAAAAGAGCAAACTTAAATGAAGTCCTTACAAAAACACAAAAAAAACCCTAGATATCCACCCTTAAATGTCACATGCACAAATACAAACAAGACTTCTGGAATGAAATCCTTCAAATCTCACCAAAGCATGAAATGACATTGCAGAGATGCTAATTTGTGGGTTGTGACAAAGAGGCCATTCCTGCCGCCTTCAGTTTATTCCCAGAATAAAATCTTGTTTCCTACCTGTCTAAATGAACCAAACAAACTGCACTATTTTAAAGGCGCATTTCTCTAAAAGACATTTTATTTTTCCGTTTGTTTTTGCATCCGTGTGTCACCAAAAACAAATGCGATATAACAACATACATGCTGCTGTGGATGAAATGCAATTGATTCATCACTCGAACCGACACAAAACCCACTGCTGCTGTTTGCATCTCACCGTCTGCCACCGTTTTCTCCCAATCAATGGCCGGAAAAGTGACACTGAGTAATTACTGCGACTGTGTCATTCACTGACTCAGTGAGCAGTGAATGACACGTGCTGCCTGATGCTAACTTGTGAAGGGTGGCTGATGCAGAACGGTGTGAGGCAAGCAGCGAAGCACCTGACTGAGATGATTACTGATGAAATGATATAATATCGAATAGCAGGATCTTTACTCCTGATGTTCGGGCCGTGCCATCCGTGTTATCTTCCTATATATTTACAGGAAGCATGCAAGTGAGGGAAAAAAACTAGCTGCCCTCTTTATCCCATATTAGATCAGAAAGAAACTCCCACGTTGCTTAATCCCCATCCATCCCGAGCGTCGTACCAAAATCAAAACATAGAATCTGACCGGCAGCACCTGTGGCTTCAGCCGTCTGTACTGAGGTTAACAAAAAAAAAAAAAGTTCTTGATTCTTGATTAAGTTCATAAATACAGCTGGTCTCCCAACTCTGCTTGGCTCTTCTTCTTTAAGTCCCCTTCACATTTTTGTTGTGGGGCCGTTGTGCCAGGCTGGCATAGTAGGCACACTGGGTTGGGTCGCACTGGCCAGCAGGGCCCGGAGGTCCAGGCTGACCGTGGGGGCCGGGGTTTCCTGGCTCTCCTTGGGCTCCGGCTTGTCCCGGGCTTCCGTCTTTGCCGTAACCAGGCATACCTGCTGGGCCTGGAACCGGAAGTAGAGCATTAAGGAAACTTATTAGAACTGGACCAGCTCTTCTAAGAGTCAGAGTATGTAAAATCCTTACCTATGGGTCCAGCAGGACCTGGCTCTCCTCTTTCACCAATCCCGGGGTCTCCCTTCTCTCCCGTTGCTCCTTTCTCACCTGACACATACACGGAATGAACAACGTTTATCAGTTTTAAGGCGAGGATGTGGTTCTCTCCTGCATTAAGCAGCTCAATTCATCACAGATTCTCATACATTTACATATTTGTTCAGTTTCAGCCGTTAGATGTCTAAACCAGCGTGAAATATGGTCAGAGGCTGCTGCTGTGTGAAGCAGGTAGGGTGCTGCAGTGAACATCATGTTCTCATTATCCCTGCATCATCAAAGGGGTGAAAATGAAGCAAATCAAAGAGGAGGGGACTGCTGTCAGAATAAACCACTAAAACTCTGCAAGTTACGACTGGAAACATTGAAGGACGACAAACTAGAACAGACATTTATCACAGTTTCCAGACATTGCACAGACGAAATAACTTCATTAAACAAGATCATAAACACCTCCAACCGGTGGCAGCAGATAGCCCCGCCCCTCCCTGAGTCTGGTTCTGCTGGAGGTTTTTTCCTGTTTAAAGGGAGTTTTTCCTTCCCACTGTTGCCAAAGTGCTTGCTCAGCGGGGTCATATTCTGACTCTGATTCTGACATGATTGAGGGGTTTCTCTCTGCACCTTGAGACAACTGTTGTTGTGATTTGGTGCTGTATAAATAAAATTGAATTGAATTGTTTTCCAAATGAGAATATACATTTTTAATTTGTGTGACCACGGCTTTCTGCCTAGTCACATATAGTCAAAGTCTAAACCTGTGTTTGAATTCTCTTCTGATATTTCTTCTTCGCTCTCAGACTGAAATCCCACCAGAGCTGTCTTACGCACATTTACCTTTAGTTTAATTAAACGTGCATTTTGCCAACTTTCTTTCCTGGCTTCAAATAAGATGAACTTTATTAATACAGTCGCTCTTCTCCAGTCTTACTGTCCAAAACATTTAAGGCCCTCACAGATTCATATAGTGCTTTCAAATCTAAACTACTCCAGCTCTTTTCCTCCTACACTCTCACCACTGCTTTGTCTGCAGCAGCTGTGTTACTTTCAAGTCTGTAATGTGTATTTAACTCTTTTTCCACCTAATATTACAGGTTTATCTTACTTTGTAAACATCAGCTACTCTGTTTCCAGCACACTTTCCATATTCACGATTGGTCAGATAATTTTGCTGCTGCGTTACAAGTTGATCACCAGTTTTGTGCGACCTTTTTCCTGATTGTAATTGTGAATCAGCTAACGGAACGATACGCTGGGCATGCTGAACTCGCTTCATCGTACAGGACTCTGCTCCCAGGTTTAAATTTATGGATATGTTGGTTTGACAACTAAACAAAAAGCTGCTTTGAAGAACGAAAAAAGCTGATCAGCTCCCACAGGATCAAACAGCATACTGACTCTGTATTACAGCCAGTCTGCTAGTTTATGACAGTACTGCATCGGCTTTAGAATGACTGCAATGACCTCAGTAGATAAAAATCCACTCGGGCTTGTATACCATTAATTTTATACAGGATGCACGCAGTGATTCAGGCATTTAGCGTCTACAAACCCGTCAGCTTCTTTCTTTTTTCTCTTTCTCAGGAGACATTTTGACATGTCACAGCAGGGTGAACGCAGGCAGGATTGATCGGATTAACTATGTCCTGTTTACGCCGTCACAGGCAGGAAAGAAGGCCACTATGAAGGCCACAGCGACACTAGCTTGTGTAAAAGGAGCAGGGTCAGAATTCGCATTACACCTGTAGTTACCTGATAATGTCATGTTGAAACAGCTGCTGTGAAGACGGCATGCACAACTTTGTCTCAGGGAGCCCTAAGATGAAAGTTTAAAGGAGCAGCTGGTGTGAGGCGCACAAACGCAGACAGGACGAAGTCTCAACTCAACCACCGCTGTTCCACTCTCTCTGTCTCTGACATGAAATCTCTCTGGACCTCATCAGTGACTTAACAAGCACAAAAAAGGATTTTTAAAAAAAAAAATCCCACACTACATAATCCATCCATTTCTCACTTTAAGTTTTTATTTCATTCCCATTTGTTCTGTTATCTTCTCGTAGTTTAGCCCCATGCAGGAGTTTGACTTCTTTCTCCTCTGACACACTGAAAGAAGCTCTACAGACAAGAATGTAGAAACAGTGTAACAGTCACAACTGTGTCTCTTTAAGACAACCCAAGTTAATGTTTAGTTCAATTCAATTCAATTCAATTTTATTTATATAGCGCCAAATCACAACATAAGTCGCCTCAAGGCGCTTCATAGATACAGAGAAAAAACCCAACAATCATATGACCCCCTATGAGCAAGCACTTTGGCAACAGTGGGAAGGAAAAACTCCCTTTTAACAGGAAGAAACCTCCGGCAGAACC